AGAAATCAGCATCACCTGGAAAGCAGATGGCTGGTGGGTCGAGATTTCCTTTTGGTGGAGCCGGTGCTCTTCAGTCTTTGGAAGCAGGCAAACTGTGATGAACATTGATGGAGGACCAGCACTGGGAAGTCTCTCCCACCTTCACCTTCCCCTCTCCTTCCCCTCTGTTAGCTCTACATATTTCTGGCTAGAGAACCTGTGAGAACCCGAAAGCATCCAAAACAATTCATTCTAACATCTTAGAGTCAAGCGTACAGCAGAATCTGGACCATTGAACTAGAAGCATTCACCTTTCATGGAGACATCAGAGCAGACATTTGAACTGGGGGACGCCCACCATTCTCCTCCTCTTTGAAAACCCTCTCTAGTATCACCTTCAGACTCTCCCTAGTTCGACTCCTTTTCTTCCTCCCAATCAGGAAATAGATGACTGGGTTCACACTGCTGTTTATGGAGGTACAGAAGAAACCCCAGACATACAAGTGATGATAGGCAGAACAATACCAGTAGTTGAGGATGTAAAGGACATTAAATGGAAAGGCAAAAATCAGGAAGAAGAGGAGAGCAAGTGAGATGGCCACTAGAAGCTTTCCCCACTTGTGCCGTTGTGATTTAAAGTGGACTTTGATGAACAGAGCCAGAGTCGAGATACTCAGAAGCGGGAGGCAAAGAAGGGCATTCATGAAAAAGCACAGCTCCCAATAATCGAACTCCAAATTCCAATGGAGAATGAAGGGGAGTTCACAGACCAGTAAAGAGATGACCCATATAATAGTAGAGACAATGGTGGACAGGTGTGGTGGCTGATGGCATCGATGCCAGATTGGGAAGAAGACCAACACGCACCTTTCAATGCCGATGACTGTTAGCAAAAATTGACCAGCAGTGTATGTGACATTGAAGAGCTCATGGAAGAACCGAAATAAATGCTCACAATCATATTTGAAGACGATTGGAAGCAGATTTGTACCCAGTGCAGCTGTGAGCACACCAAAGTCAGCCACAGCCAAATTGAGAATGTAGGTGGTGAAAGAGCTCCTCTTAATGCAGAAGCCAAGAAGACAGATGATGATTCCGTTCCCCACAAGTCCCAAAATGCAGACAGAGATGACAATAATTTCTGGAGTATAGTCTCGCGTATACTCTGAACGATTTGCGTACGTGGACATAGAATCATATCCCTCGTATTCTTCTCCAGTTTCCACAGTGGAGAGGGGCATCTGGCTTGAATTGCTCATTGTGCTCAAACTCTCCTTCGGAGGCTCTTGTCTCCTCTCGTCCTCTATATACCCCTGATAGGGAAAAAGAAAGAGGGATGTTCTGTTACTCCTCGTTTGGAGTATTGTGTACAGTTCTGGTCACCACACCTCAAAAAGGATATTCTAGCATTGGAAAAAGTGGATAAAAGGGCAACTAGAATGAGCAAAGGGTTGGAACACTTTCCCTATGAAGAAAGGTTAAAGCGCTTGGTGCTCTTTAGCTTGGAGAAACGACAGCTGAGGGGTGACATGATCGAGGTTTATAAGATTATGCATGGGACAGAGCAGGTGGAGAAAGAAGTCCTTTTCTCCCTTTCTCACAATACAAGAGCTCGTGGGCACTCATTGAAATTGCCGAGCAGTCGGGTTAGAAGAGATAAAAGGAAGTCCTTCTTCACCCAAAGAGTAATTAACACATGGAATTCACTGCCACAGTAGGTGGTGGCAGCGGGGAGCCAGGACGTTCTGGATGGTCCCTCCATTCCCCATCATTACTCAACAGGCCAGTCGGGGGGGGGGGATAGACATTCCCCCTAGTGTTGCAGAGACATTTCCCGCACAATTCAGAAGTAACACCAAAAAGGTCTAGAATCAAGATCTAGATGGGAAGGAAGCACAATAAAGTGCACTATGTTCTTCTGCCTTATCTGAATGTCAGTTTAAAACAAAAAGGGGTAAGGGCAGGGGAGAGCGAGAAAGAATTGCTTCTAATGGTCATATGCTTGAGAGAAAGAGATAGGAAGATGATTGCGTTTGCTCAGTTTGATAGCCAGAATCTTCTAGACTCACATGATGCAGCTCC